GATTGCTAACAAGTAACAAGTACAACATTGGCAAGATAACTCTTGTAAGAAGTGTGAAGAAGCTTGTCATTGGTTCAAACCGAACTTGGAAGCTTAGGCAACTCAATTTAGTTCAAGTCAACTTAGAAGCTCATGATAGTAACAAGAGTACAAGAACAAGACAACAATTCAAATGGATATCTAGTTTTTCAAGTGGTATCTAGACTCAATTGATTTATCAAGTCATATTCACAAGTGGTGTCTAGATCAACATACAAGGGATATCCTACAAGTAGTACTCATGAAGATAGCAAGTGTTCAAGAAATAGTTCTTATTGACAAATCCAACAAGTGGTTCCATGGTAGCAAATTCTTTCAAGTGGTATCACATTTCTACACATGGTATCAATCATACAAGATGGTGGTTCCACAAGTGATCCTCAACTTTAAGTGATCATCAAATGAAGAAAGTTCCCTCACCAACAAGAGTTCAAGATTGTCAAATGGATGACCCATGCAATGACTTAGGGGGAGGTGTCCCACCAATTGGTATCAAGGTCAAAGATCCTATGTGTGGTATCTCAAGAGCTATAAAAATGGTGGCATTCCAACATATGTAGTGGTGTCCATAAAAATGCAAGATTCAAGCATCAACCATCTACCCCAATGCAAGCCTTTGCATCAATGATAAGCACACCTTTTTATAGAAATTGATAACAAAGGGGGAGAGATTGTACAAAGATATGAAAGCTTGAGGGAGAGATTGAGACGAAGAAGTAGAAGTTGGACATGGACATGGACAAAGAGGGAGCAACATTGAAGAATGTGAGGGGATCAAAATTCTTGGACAAGAGAAGCACACAAGTAGGGGGAGCAAGCTCATGAACTTGTTTGATTGCATTTGATATGTGCATATTCATGTGCTTTCTTGCATTGCATAAGTTTTTAAATTTGATATGCATGCTTGTGTGGTGTGTGCTAGTGATAGAACTTGAATGACGACTTGAAAACTAGCATGCATAGGATGATAGCTAGACACTTGGTTTGATTTTCAAGTAATACTAGTACCTTGCTTATTATTGATCTCACGGGGTATCTAGTGTTTTTGTTTCCAAGTGGTACCTAGCTAATCATGGTGCTAAGGATGGTGTTAAAAGTGCAAACTCCAATTGGTATCACACTTCAAAGGTTTATTCTATACACCTTAGCATCATTGGTAGTAATTACTCTCCCACGACTCCAATCTATGCATATATGTGAGCTTCAAACAAAACACTCTAGCACATATGTAGGGGGAGCTAATACTACCAATTCGGGTTTGTGGTACTTGTCCAAAATCATTTACACATGGTCAAATTGCTTGGGCAAGCAACATGAATCCATTTGAGCTTAATTACCAAAAAGAGGGAGATTGAAAGGTCCTTGTTTGGTTTTGGTAATTGAGTGATGACCTAGGTGGACTAATTGTATTTAATATGAGATACATAGGAAATTAGTCCACAAGTACTTGTGTGAGCAACTCATGCCACGACGGTGAAGATGGCTTGGATTTGTTGCAAGGCTCACACATATGATGAAGGAGCTCATTGCATATGAAACATGACATGGAGTCATGTGATCAAGGTGGAGAAGATCAAGATAAGACTTGGCTCGATGGATCGGTTGCAAGTGTGAAGGGCAAGTTGAGTGATGACTTGGCGCCGATGGACCAAGGCAACAGTGAAGAGCAAGTGAAGTCAAGATCGATGAACTAATACGATCACATGATGATATGAAGTGGATCATATCATTGTTGATCAAGTTGGTGCATGTGCTGCATCGACATTGGAGGAGATGGAATGGAATGCGCAAGGCAAAGGTATAACCTAGGGTATTTCATTTCACCGGTCATAGGCGTGTAGAGAAGTTGATGACTGGGTTTAGGATAGATGACCGTACTATCAAGAGGGGCAAACTTGTTTGCATATCGGTCATCTAGTGCCACTCGAGTGATCTAACTTTGCATCATTGCTAGGATCGAGTGGCGTGGTGAAAAGAGTGCTAATCCTTTGGGAAAATGTTTGTGAAAATGCTAACACGCATACACATGGTGGTGTACACTTGGTGGTATTAGCACATTTGCTGAGGAGAAGTTGGAGTTGAAACGAATCAACTCGGTGAAGAAACAGAGACGAAACAAGTCACTGGAGGTGACCAGACGTAGGTCTCGACTAGAACTGCGCATCAGGTCATGCTCTGCAGTGAAGGCGCAGGCGTCGGTCTTCGACCGGACGTTGGACGAAGAAGTGACCTGACGCACAGGGGTCGTGTCCAGTCATCTCTGATGTACACTGACGTCATGGCGTGAGGAGCAGCAATGACGCGTGGCAGGTGCTGAGTCCAGTCAGGTTGGACCTGACGTGTCCGGTCATCGTTTGGCCCTCTCTGGACCTCTCTGGAAATGATCGGACGCTGGCAGCGGAGCATCCGGTCATCGGTTCTGTGGCGAGTGCTTGCACGGGACCTGATGCAGCGTGGGTGTGTCCGGTCAGTGTCTGGCGTGTCTGGTCATTACTTGACCGTTGAGGGGGTGTCAGTGACCGTTGAGATCGGGTGGCTCCGGTTGAACACGAGCGCCATGTGGACAACGATCTGCGACTAGACGTAGGGTCTGGCACGTTCGGTCATCACGACCGACGTGTCCGGTCGTTGCGTGTTGTGCCCAGTGAAGGGGTACAACGGCTCTTTTCTTGTGGGGGCTATAAAACCAAGTGTTGGCCGGCCTTGGGCTGGTTGCTGAGCACCCTTAAGCCTTGGTGGCTTGTGTAGGTGTGCTTGGGAGCCCTCTAACTCACTTGTGCTTGATAGTGATCATCCGATCGAGTGAGTGAGCGATTCTAGTGCGATTGCATCATGAGGTTGCATCGAGTGGCACTAGGTGATTGAGTTGCAAGCCGGTGATGCTTATTACTCTTGAAGGTCGCCACCCCTAGATGGCTTGGTGGCTTGTGACTCCGTTGAAACACGTGAGAAGATTGTGCTGTGCTCCGGACGAGGATTTATGAGGGGGATTGTGCTCACCCCACGGGGATCGCGAAGAGTAACTCTAGTTGAGCGTGTCATTGAGCTACTCTCACTTTTAGGGTAGGTTCTTGCGGTGCCCAACGTGTGGACTTGACGGGTGATGCCAATTAGCCGCCGAACCACCAAGTGAGCGGTCGACACAATGGGGACTAGCGTGTTGGCAAGCACGTGAACCTCGGGTTAAAATCACCGTGTTATCCTTGTCTTCCGTTGGTTTGCATCACCTTTACACAAGCTTGTATTTACATTTCATACTTGTGCTTGTGTAGTTGCTCTTGTAATTAGTTGACTTGTGTAGTTGGTTAGTTACCTTCTTGCTTGTGTAGCATAGAAGTAGCTCTCTTGCGTGGTTAATTTGGTTTTAGTAACCTTGTTAGTCACATTGCTTAGTTTGTGTAGCTAAGTATTTTGTGCTCTCTAATTTGGCTTGTGTAGCCTTGTTATTGAGTTGTGCTAGTGAGTTTAGGTGGCTTTATGCTTTTGCTTACTAGTTGTGTAGGAGCTACCTTGGTTGTTTGAAGTACTAGTGGCATAGGTTTGTGTGACCTTGCTCCTAGAATTATTTAGGTGAGCTATAGCTAGTCCGGCACCTTTGTTGCCTAATTAGGATCTTTATAAGGTGCTTGTGAACTTAGATAGAGGGGTGTAGTCTTGGCTAGACCGATGGTTTTAATTCGCATTAGTTTCGGTTAGCTGGCACGATAATTTTTAGAAAGGACTATTCAACCCCCCTCTAGTCCGTCATCTCAACCCTACAGCGGATCGCATCAAATTGAGACCCAAAGATACAAAGGAACATGAAACATTGTAAAGTATTTTTCAACTTTCTCCTTCCAAATCTTACGATGTTCACCATCAAACTTTGGAAAGTCTGCTTTGGATAGTCTATATTCCTTTCTGATATGGGGGTGGAGCACATTATTCAGATCGAAGGATTGATCTAACCAACTGATTAGACAAATGGGGTCAAGGGTCAGATGGCTCACCCTTGATCAGGGGATGATGTAAGACGAGGGCCTTAGCATCAGACCCTGGTGAGTTGAATTGACACGGTGGCTGTTGGCCCACCCCTCCTCCTCGCACGGTGGGGCTAGTGGCGGAGCATGCGTGGTGCACACTTCCAACGCCTCGATGCACGACGTGAGATTGGTGATGGACTTGCTAAGTTCTGTGGTGAAGTAATATTCCACCTCCCGACGCTAGCGATTGAAACCCTCCATGGTCTTGAGCGCATAGCATCCATCTTCAAGCTAAGCTATCCGGTCTGCTCTTCTGTTGTAGCCATCCTTGTCGTAAGCGTCGGTTTGGTGTTTCGCCCTCGCGCCAGTGAATCTAGTCACGTTGACGAGGATAGTGGTGGGTTGGGATGGGTTGAAGCTGAGATCCAGGTCGAAGCTGAAGCGACCAATCACATATGCAACCTCGCTCTGGTACCAGTTGTCACAATCCTAGGTCGGCGGGGAACTTGGCGGCCACGGCGCCGGGTCTCTGAGCGAGAGAGAGGGATTTAGAGTTTACTTTTTCTTATCAATGTTCGTTTCCCTAGTCCTAGGATTCCTTTTATGCCCGCCACGAGATGGCTTGCTAGCTGTGGGCTCGGCCCATAAGCAACTACCTCCATTTCAAGGATATATGGCCCAAGACCCATACACTGCTAAGCTACCATATGCTATCCAGGACAGATTGGTCCTTCATTTCCTTCGTTCTCTTGTCAAGATGAATTTCTGCCATATTTTAAGATAAGCATTATTGCTTGAGTATTCCAGATTTCTAGACATCTACATCCACGTTGAAATTGCTTCTTCTGTTTCTCACACTGAGCTCACAACATTCGTAGCTATATTGTATAGAACTGGGAGATTAGTTACTTATTTGATAACTAAAAAAATTACAGAACACCTAATCATGATGCATCCAATCCAGGGTTTATTAAAACATGCAAAGTTGAACGGTTGGTTTCATCTTGGTGCAGGACCTATACGAGTTGCTGATTCAACAATGTCTACCTGTTGCAACTCTAGGTCATCTTTTTGCCCCGGATGATCACTTGGTTTTTCATTGCTATGCAAATCAACACTTGTTGTGCTGAGATTCATTGTGCTGGTCGAGACTGAACTGTAGTAGCCCATTGCATAGGACACCTCCAGCTCCAAGCTCTCCTTGAGCTCTGCCACAATGTCGGTCATTGCCGGTCGCTCCCTTGATGGTTGTTCTTTGCACTTCAGTGCCAACTCTGCAACTTTCCAGAGAGAGTTGACATCATACATCCCTCCCATCCTTGGGTCAGCAATGCTTGCAATATCACCCTCAGAGAGCTTCTGGCGCACCCATAGTGCAACATGGATGCTCTCAGTGTCACTTACAGGAACTGCTGGTGGCTGGCCTGTGATAAGCTCCAATAGCACAACACCGAAGCTGTATACATCACTCTTCTCACTGAGCTGGGACGTGTTGTAGTATTCAGGGTCAAGATATCCTAGGGTGCCTGCTGGTTGTGTGGTGACATGGGTCCTGAACTCATCAGAGAATGCTTTCATGAGCCCAAAGTCAGCTATCTTCGCCTCAAGATCAGCAGATAGAAGAATGTTCTTTGTCTTCACATCCCTATGGATCAGTGGTGGCTGGCATGATTTATGCAGATACTCCAGTCCTGCACCCAAGTGAGGAACCAGTAATTACTTTGCAATCTATCTAGTGTTAGATCTTTTTCGAAAAAAAAAAATCTAGTGTTAGATGGATTGTTAGGAGCTAGACACATGGTAATGAGACCAAAATTTTTCTTCAGATCTAGTTAGTATATGAAACAGAGTAAGATACAGGTTGGTACACGCTGCAAGATCTATATGATAGCTTCTCTTACTACTGTATTTCTAATTCAAGGTACTGTATGTTCGGCCTTACAAACCTTGGGCGGAGTTGAGAGCAATCTTGAGACGTTGATGCCAAGTGAGGGGTGTAGCAGCAGAGGCCTCTCCTGTGATTGATGGTCAGAACAAATTTATTATAGCAACGTTTATGTAAAATGGTGAAATACTAGTTGGCTTGTCAAATTAGGTCATAATATGCATCACTTATCATGTCAAAAGTGTATGATGGCACAAAAATCAGGGCCCTCAATTTTGCTATGAATATGTCAGACACAGCAGACAATAAACATGGCACCTTACACTTTAATGTATTCAAACTTTCACCCAACAAATATCCCCATGCTAAGATGACATTTTCCTGCATCTATGCTGCCAATGTGTTTGACAAAGCTAAAATAGAAATGTGAAATTTTATCATTAGTGGAAGAGTGTTTTTTTTCTTTATGAGGGTGCAGGCAGGTAGCAAGTTACCTCTTAGACAGTCCTCTAGGTTTCCCCCCTGCATGTATTCATAGACAAGGGCCATATGTTTCTTGTCCTTGCAATATCCAATCAAGGAAACCAGATTTTTGTGATGAACTCTAGACAAATGCTGAGCCTGAAATATGTAATAACAACATTTTATTTCAGTTTTCAAATGCACACAGAAGATAAAGCACAAAAGAATAGCCTACCTCAGCTAAAAACTCTTTAGCCCCTTGAGAGGATGTTTTTGAACGCATCTTGACGGCAACTGGACTTCCATTCTCCAAATATCCTAGGAAGACAGAACCAAACCCTCCTCGCCCTATTTCTTCTTTGAAGTTAGCTGTCATGAGCTTCAGCTCCTTGTAGGTGAACTTTCTGTTCTCAAATATGTGTGAACTGGCTTGAGGGCTAATAAACCTTGAGTTGTTTGCCATCCATGTATCTGGATGGAATCATGTATGATATGAAAATATTCAATTAATACACATCTAATTATTTCCTCGATAAAATATTTTTTAAGCAAATTCGTTGAAGAAATGTCACCTTGTCTGTTTCTCATTCTATGGAGGATAAGTAATCCTGCAACAAACAGTAGAGTTGCTACTGCTATTGGAACAACTGTTGCAATGATAAGTGTTTTGTTTCTTTTCTTCTTCTTCGGCTCACATGTAGATGGACCATTGTCACAATCAATCCTAACATTTGGTCAACATTATCCGGATTAATTAAATATATAGAGAAAAATGCCGCAGTGTACTTGTTTGATTCAAGTAGCAGGAGTTAAGTCATTATGTGTTTCTAAGTTATCCTAGAGTGATTCTTTACGAAAAATTTAACGGTCCATCTCCAGAGAACCTCAAGGATGAAATGGACTTTTCAAATATATAAATTGGCTACATGATTCTGACCTCAATACCAGAGATCCATTTTGTATCTTTTGTAGCAGAGCTGCAGGTACTGATCCACTGAGTATGTTGCTTGACAAATCACTGCAGAAAGTAAGTTCATGTTCAATGTGGTGATGCAGGTATTGCAAAATTAATTTTAGGTCAACAGAAATACTTACAGGAATGACAGTGACGACATTTGCGCTAGAAAATCTGGCACTGGACCTGATAGGCTATTATTTGACAGATCTCTGAATTAAAGAAAGTTCTTGTGAAAAACACTAGAATAGTAATCATAACTGCTTATTAAAAAAAGGTCGAATGCTATGCTACGGGTTTCTGAAAAATTAGTAGGTGAATGTTGCATGTATGGAGGTGAGAACCAGAAAGAGTTAAGATATGATGAGTCACTTACAGTTGTTGGAGGGATTTTAGATCTCCAAAAGAAGAATTAACTGTACCAGTCAACCCACTCGATGATAAATTCCTGGAACAGATCATATTCCAGGGCAGGGAAACAATGCATTCTTTTTAGTCATTTACTATCTATGTAAATCTTTAATGGTAGAATGCCTTGAAGTGTACTACTTACAGAGCTATTATCTGTGCAGGACCAGATGATGGATAACTGCAGTTCAAGCCATCCCATGCAAATGCTTTTGGTGCACAAGGATCACCCTTCCAATTTTTCTTCAGTGCATATCTTTCTCGAATTGTCATCATAGCTTTAGCTGTTCATATGAAGAAAAGAAAAGAAGGTAAGTTATTATGCTTTCATGACATCCAAACCATTTAGAATTGGACTAGTAAATTCTAACTGAGCTTAAGGTTTTCGATAAGATGATACCGTCTGCACTATTCGTCGCCATCTCTGTCATTGGCTTGACTGAATATATCTCGAATGCATTCAGGATGGGTGGAAGCGTGGCCGCCGGTGTGGCGACAAGAGAGACGCTATGCTGGCCAGGCCCCTGTGCCGTCCTCTTCACAACCTCCGCGGAGAGGTACTTGGGGGTGAAGCCCTGGCTGCTGCCATCATTCCCTGTAGCGTTGTCGACGAGGATGTCAAACTGTCTCAGCCCATTGCTTGGCACCCTCTGAAGCTCCGCGAAGTAGAGAAACAAGAGGTAAGTCGAATTGCCATTGCCGTTGTCCAAGGAGGGATCTGAGCTCCATGAGAAGTCCATCTGGGTAGTTCCGTTCACCGGAGTGGCTGCGTTCTGCAGTATCTCCGATGGCTTGTCGAAGCTGTTGGCGACATTAGAGACGTCGACTTCCCTGGTGGTGTTTATGTTGGTCCATGCGGCGTTGCGGCCATACCTTTGCCACAGGCGGTCATACGAATCATCAGGGTACCTGAATGGCGGGACAGAATAATCTGGATTGAACTGGTATCGATTGAAATTGAATCTGGCTGATGGGCGGGACAGGCTGAGCAAAAACAGTGACTGATTGACCGTAGCCTCCTGGTACATGGTCGCACTGAGCGGCCTGAGCTCCAGCCCAGAGATGAACGGTGTACCCAACCCTATATTGACCAAGCACACCTGTAAATGCTCACGTTACTTATGATGAATTCATTCATTTAACGAAAAACAATGCATACTTTGACAGAAAATGTACTGCGAAATAGACAAATTACTTTTGGTAGGAAGTATCAATGGAGGCAACACCATTGGGGAGACAAGATTATTGCCAAATCTATGATGCCATGCATTATGAAAAAAATTGCTGATATCATGGTTATGAAAAAAATGCTTTAGTAAATACATTGTCAGTACAAAAATTGCTGATATCATGGTTATGAAAACAAAATGCTTTAGTAAATTGGACTTGCTAGCGCCCGGACGTCCGATCCAGGGCGCTAGCACCGGACGGTGCCCACAGTGAGAGAGCGAACGCCCCACCGCGTCGGGCTTGCGAGCGAGCGCCCCAGCAGTGGGCCCACACCGCCCCAGACGTCGCATGTGCCACCCCGGGCGTCGCCCGCTTCCCACACGCATCCCATGTGCAACACCTTATCTATTTATGAAACATCCAGATACAACAGTTGCAACATACAAAAGATGACAGATAAAACACTTGAAACAAGCGTCTAAAACACTTGCAAAAACACCCGAAAAACACTAGAAAATCATTGCAAATATATGCAACATCCAGATGAAACATTTGCAACATACGTATGAAACACCTGAAACACTTGAAACATATGCTTTCAACATGCATGTAACATCTAGATCTACTTTTCCAACATCCAGATAAAACACTTATAACATACTTCTAGAACAAATGACACATTTAGAACATACACTTGAAACATACGTGTATAGCTATTGCTATATGTGCAACATTCCGATCTATTTGTGCAACATCGATATACAACACTTGCAACATACCTCTGAAACACTTGAAACATACTCTTGCAACATGCGCTTTAAGTGTAGCATCTACTTACTACTTGGACAAATGGAGGCTCGTCGACGTGGAGTTTGATGCTGCGGAGTGGCACGAGTAGGGATGCCAGCGGGTAGGCGGTTGCGCGGCTAATAGTGACAAGGCTGGCGGGTGCGGACCCCCATGGTGGAGGCGACAATGCGGGCGATTACACTGCCCGCGGCGAGCGTTCCCCGCGCTAGGAAGGTGAGCGGCCGGCGGGTGACGCGTGGAGTCGGCTACAGAAGACGCATGCTCGCAGTGAAAGAAGGTCGCAACGGGTGAGGGAGGACTGGGGAATCGACATTTATTTTTTTTCATGGAGAAGCCGGGAGCAGGCTCTGTATTGGGCTCCGTAATCCAGGAAGGGCGTGTCCGGAGCATTGGACGCCCTGAGAAGAGCATTTCTGTTAGTAAATACATTGTCATTACAAAATGATCATAGCGCCGACCTCTAGCCACGGCAGCGCCACACCAACCCTGATCTCCAACCTCGGCGCCATGGCCTATGGCGCCGAGATGTGCTACCTCAGCGCCGAGCCCAGGGTCCAAAGATAGGTTTATGACGCCCATAGGTATAAATGTCAATTTTTTACGAAAAAATGGTTAAATTGAAAAAATTCGGGTGATGCCACCGACACCATTTCTTACGCCCGTTTCCAGTTTTCTCCTCTCTTCTCTCTCTTCCACATATATAGGATTTTGCTAGGTTGGTTTGACTATGGAGGGTCAGACACCTTTTGCCAGGTTTAGACCAAACACATCCTACAAGTGTGGAATGACAACAATGAAATGCTCGTGCTAAGCCCGTTAGGATCTGTCCTTGTATCTAAAGTAACATACGGTTTGTTTTCTCATAAAGTATCAAACTGAATTTCTGAATCATATATATCATAGTTAGACTTGTTATAGATTTTACATCTTTTTTTAGGGCAAATAGCTTTTACATCTTATTTTGGTCCATTTACAAGTCTAGGTTCCATTTTAGACTTCGTGCAGCATGGATCAAAACATCTGTTTTTTTATTAACTTTCCAGGTTAGAAGAAAGAACGTGCAGGACAATGATGCTTTGCAAGCGTCTGATGTTTTTTATTTTGTTTGTTTCATGCTTGTGGGAGAGTGAGAGTTTGAGTTCGTGACGAAGGAGCGGGAAGAGAACAATTGTATCTGTAGAGAAGCTAGTGCTATGTTTACAATTATAATTCAGTCTGCGTATGAACTATACAACTTTAAGTAGAGAAGCTCCTATTATTTAAATTAATTTGTATGATAGTTAGTAATAGTATATTTTTTTAGTGAGCATAAGTGCATGGCGAAAATTTAGTGTTTCTTTGGTAGCAATCCGTACCGACAGTAGAAATCAAGTTATCCATAGACGTCTCTGGCAAATGATACGTTCCAAGTGTGGATTTTCTAGGAGTCCTGGCCAAAAGAAGCCGTGGGTTTGAGTCAGGTGCAGGTGCGGGATATGGAAGCCACACATGTGGGTGCATTCTTCAATGGATTGTATCCAAGTGAGCCAAACAAAACCTAATTTGATATGGAACGAGGTGAGGATGGGCTGGATTTCTCAATTTCTCTCCCATTAGGTATTGTTTAGATGCATGTGTATCCATTTTAATTCACATGTGTTGGAGTGGATTGAAATAAAACTTAGTTTAATTTCAGTCCAATACACTACAACTACATGTGAATTTATATGAATACACGTGTATCTAAACAAGTATGGTAGGTAGAAGGATCAGGTGTGGTGTAGTATTTCACTAGAGGGGACCCAACGTGTGTGTAGGAGTAGGTGTGTGTGCGGGCGCTCAGTTGCACTGCTCGGTGGGCACGTCACATGTCTGCTCGGGCGGCTCTATCATTGTTTAAGCGCGTGCTCAATGGAAAAGGACTTCTAATCAATTATATTATCTAATCAATTAAGAAAAGAAAAATAGGAAAGGGCTCTAATTAATTATATTTAATTTTATAAACTCGAGAACTTCTAATCAACTGCTAACCTGCACCAAATTGATTTTCGATCAATTCAAAGTTTCAAACCAGAAGGCTAAGCTGGTATGGAAAAGGACCTACCTGCATGAAGTCGACCGGCGACACGGCCACCGCCTCGAAGATGTAGACGCCTTCGGCGGTGGTGACGTTGACGGTGGCCCATCGATTGACGCCGAGGTGGAGGTCGAAGGCCGGGGGCGCGCTCTGCCCGTCGTAGTTGCCGTAGTAGAAGGTGGCCCGGACGAGGTTCCTGCTTCCCTGCGCCACCTGCCGGAGCGTATAGCAGCTGCGCGTCGCGCCGCCGCCCATGACGGTGGGGAAGTAGCGGACGTTGAGGTACCGGTCGGCCAGACCCCTATCGACGTACGGTGGCCGCACGGCGGCGTTGAAGCCCCTCGCCGGCGTCGACGAAGCCGGCGTCGGAGACGTAGGTGAGTCTCGACAACGAGTCCTGGTAGCGTAAGCCGTCGCCATAGCCGCAGTCGATGCTGATGAAACCTGCAGCACAGATCATCAACCCAAGCATAATCTGAGAGAGGGAACCATAAGGAAGCAGCTTGGGTGTGAGCTAAAATGCGTGGGAGCGTGAAGAAGGTAGCAGCTTTTTGCCTGGAGGATCGAGCTGGCCCTGGCCATGGACGAGGACGAGAGGAAGCTCCAGCGATGCTGCTAGCAAGCGCACCAGGACGGCCAAGAGCATCGCAGCAGTTGATGATGGCGCCATTAATTGATCTGGATAGCTGATCTGGCTAGCTGCTAGCAGACTAATAGACTATGTACCGGGTGGTACGGTCGACCGATCGATTGTTTGCCGGCCTCGGCCGGCGAAGCAAACGAATGAACGCGCGGCACACGTCAACACGACAACACGTATGTACATGTGCATATACGACTGGTCAACGTCGTTTACCGTAAGCGTTGGAATTGTTGATGATGCGGATCGAAAAGGCCAGCAGAGGATGGATCGAAGTCAGCGAGCTAGGCTAAATAAATCTTTAATTTGAAGTTGATGCACATGAACGTGACATGCCGTGAGTTGCCAACCTCGCGAGGATTAAACAACCCCAGGAGATGCAATTAACAATGGTGGTCGTCCTTATCGCTGAGGCCATAGACGCGATTCCCTGTGCGCGTTCACCGGGTATGATGAGAGAGAGAGGTAAGACAGCTGAGATTGTCTCTGCTGAGTGAGGACTGTGATGTTGCAGATCCTATTTCTCCGTTTCAGAGCTAGTTTGTTTAGCTCATTTGTCATGTATTGCTTATACATTCGGCAGGCTAATTAGGGGCTCACTGGCAATTATTGTTATACCATAACTGATAGAGATATGAGGAGCATAGGGTAGGGGTCGGCCATAAAATAACTTATTCTATAATCACTTTAATTTACGATAATATTTGTTCTAATTTATGATAAATTGAATGCATACTTACAATACTTCCTCCAGGTTCTAAAAGAAGTCATTTTGGACAACGGACTTGCTAGTGCCTGGATGTTCGATCCGAGTGCTAGAGTCTAGACGCTGCTCACACAGGGAGCGAGCGAGCGCCTAGCGCGTCGGGCTCGTGAGCGAGCGCACCAGCAGTGGACCCGCGCCACTCCAAACGTCGCCCACGCTGCCCCGAACGTTGTTCGCGCAGCCAGCCGGTTCCCACGCGCATCCCATGTGCAACACCCGATCTACTTTTAAAACATTCATTTGCAACATACAAAAAAGACAGATAAAACACTTGAAACAAGCGTCTGAAACATTTGCGACAACGCCTGAAACACATTTTAAAACCATTACAAATATATGCAACATCCAGATAAAACACTTGCAAATATATGTATGAAACACCTGATAACACTTGGAACATATGCTTGCAACATGCATGCATATGCAACATCCAGATCCACTTTTGCAACATCCAGATAAAATCGCTTGCAACATTCGGCTGGAACAGATGAAACATTTGGTATATACACTTGAAACATACGTTTATAGCCGTGCAACATCCCAATCTAATTTTACAACATTGATATATAACGCTTGCAACATACCACTCAAACTTCTGAAATATTTTGAATTGTACATTTGCAACATGCATCTTATCCCGGTGCGGCCTCCTTCGCTGTCTTCATTGGGGCATTGGCGCGCCGCAACTACCGTAGCACGAGGCGAGGCTAGAGGGCTTCCACGATAGGGCCCCACGCTTCTCTTTGCGCTGGCGGCGCCTGTCAGCGTTGTCGGGCAGGGCGGGCGGCGAGTAGGAGTAGCATCAGGAGCAGCAGCGCGGGCGCGCCAAATAGGACCAGGTTGGGCAACGGAGCAAGAGCAACGGTAGGAGCAGCACGCGGAACAGGAGCAGGAGGAGCGGGGAGGGCGGCAAAGCAGGGGCGAGCAGCAGGGTCAACAGAAGGGATGGACATGGGAAGGTTTATTGGGCTGGGATGCAGGCCCATGAAGGAGCATTTGAACGGGACGGACGTCCTGCGTACAACATTTCCGTTTAGAGAAGGTTTTGGTCAAACATTGAGACTATAAATCATGAATAACTTTTAAGTTGTTGAGTTTGGAAATGTGAAAACCATATATGAATAGATTTGTCTTGAAAAATAATTTCATAAAAATATACATATATCACTTTTCAATAAATATTTTTTATAAAAATAAGAAGTCAAAGTTATGTTTTAGAGACTGTGTTGCTGTCCAAAACAACTTCTTTTAGAAACCTAGAGGGAGTATATGTGTTACTAGAACTCATGATATTTATTTCATGATGATATATTTAACACAATGTTAGAGGTGAAAGATCTAATATGGCAAGGTATGGCGAGTGGCATACCTTGACTTTCTAGGTGATTGCCCTGCAAGTCACATGCCGTATTTCCGAGAAAAGCAGACGCAGGAGGAACAAAGACGACGCAGGGCATTATTTTGACTTATTAGCTTCGTCGTGATGGTGAGCCGAAGCATTTAGGACTTTGGATTTTACTCTTTAGCCCATCTACTCGGCGCTGCGGCCTGACCTGAGCTTATCTGGCTCCTGTGACTGAATCGAGTGGACAACGCATAAAGGGAGCAGAGCAATACGAGCAAGCCGTATTAGGAGTCAGCGTTGCTGACTTGCTTGCTGCTTAATTAATAGTTATTTTGTCAGTTGGTTAATTAGTTAGGGGATCATCCTGTATATACAAGTAGAACGGTTCGGGATGTAAGGACAAGACCAATACCGAAATGAGAGATATGTATTACGGTTTCACGTTTTCGGGAGCGAAGGAATAATCAAGCCAAGAAAGAACTACCGGCCCTGCTTCGTACATTAAATCGGCAATAATCAACACATAATACACCTATAAGCTGATTCAAAAAAAAAATACACCTGTAAGCAAATTGCTGTGTACCACCAGACTAGACGCAGCCGGCCATCACTTCTAAACCATGCTGCGTCCTTGCAATGTTGTTACAGCAACCCACACGAGTGCTGCCTGCAGCTGCGGGCCTTCCAATCATGGACAGAGAAAGAAGCTTGACAGTAGCAATAATACACTGGCAGATATGTAATATGTTGAAGCAGCTGCAACACAGACAACGTAGATGATTGCAACACAGCAGGACCATTACAGACCATTGCCCTGTTCGTAGCCGTACCCAGTGAAATAACAATATTTTTCTCTTACAACAAATCAGCATCAACATCAGCATCAGCCGTTTTTCCAGCCAGCCGAGCAAGGCCAAATAGCACGCTAAAACCTTGGGTTCGGTCGTTGTTATTACACACAACGTAACACAGGAGTGAGTAGCTTGTAGACAGCAACCGACACAGGAGTAACACACACAGGACGACCATTACACAAAAGCATCGAAATCGAAACTCAGCTAGCTCGACGATGAACTGAAGCCGGTTGCATTGATGGATCTAAACCTGGTGAAGGGTGACCTGCCACCAGTGGGCGCAGCACTGGAACTTGTAGACATAGACTTGCCCAACGCGAAGATGGTGCGCGCGCACAAAATCAGCCCAGCCGCCGTGGATCCTCGACATTCCGTCTTCTCTCTTCTTGGTCCCCTCGAACAGGAGACCGCTGGCGTTGAAGAGGAGACAGATTCGAGCTGGCCCCGTTGGGAGTTTCGCAGACATCCTCTTGGTGAAGGACTTTGATTTATGAACAATTGTTGTTAGGAAAGAAATATTATTAGTGTGTCTCTCTATGTATATAATAATAACTGTTGAAACTCTCGTCAGAAGTAGAGTGGGAAAAACTGGAAATCAAGGCCACTGATCCACGTTCGACGTAGCTTTGTTTCATGGTAGTAGCGTCGAGTATGATCTATGGTGGGGTGCCGATAACAAACCCATATCAAGTAGAGGTGGGATTCAAAACGCAAAAAAATTCGGTGGTCACCAAAAAGGGCGAATTTCGGAAATTCGGGAAATTTCAGACCGGTTTTCAGCTAAGTTGACCAGTCAAACATTTCATATTTAAGCGTTGACAGAAATTAGACGGAATTTTCACAAATTTAGTCCGAATTTTTTATTAAATACAGAACAGCAGAGAAATCAATTAAAAACGCTTCACTGCCACCCATGCCGCTGCGCACCAGCCCACCATTCACTTGATTGCGTGAGGCCTCCATGGAACCTACCTTGGGTTTTTACTGTGGGGTTCTCGTTTCTATACTAGGAAAAGTATTGGCGGGCTATGGTGAACTTTAGGCTAGGCTAAAAATTCAAATTAGGCTGAATTTTTTTTGGCCGGGTTACAATTCTCTCGGGCCTAACGAAATGGACGAATTTCACCTAAATTCGGCCCATTCAGGCTAGAGGGCGCTGACCATGGCGTCGGTCCGGCTAGTGCTGGGAGACGTCAGGAAACGGACATCTTCTCATCGGACAACTGTATTAATGAAGATCCAGCAGGTAAGTAAAAATCAAATAAAGACTACTACTTGATGATCTAGCTAGTGCTTTTATTTGCATGTACGACCAAGAACGCGAATGCTAATGACGAGGAGCAGGCCGGAGGCCGGCGGGGCAGTTTACGTACATCTCTGTCCACCACCACCTGCTGCTGCTGATGGCAAATGTCGTGGGGCAAACTGCTTCTCTACGCCGTCTCCGGAGTGAATGCTGAGCGAGAAGGCGAGGTGTCCGGTGCGCAAGAAGCGACGACCGATGTCCCCCTGTGCGACGCCTTCTCTGTCCATCAGCTCAGCCCAGCCGTTCGTGAAAACAAGCCTATGGGCGCCGTAGCGTTCCAACCGCACCTTGTGCACATGACCGCTCGGCGCGGCGATGTCGAACCAGTAGTGCTGAGACACGCACTCGTCGTCCTCTACGTGATATCGTCTCGGCAAGAACTGAAACAAATTTAAACGTACGGATTGCATGCAAACAAGAGTTAATTTAACAGGCGAGGTTTACTGTACTTACTTGTTAGAACTGATGTTACCATCAACGAACGCCTTGGTGCGGCATGAGCGGGCATA